AGTGTATGTAATATCATTTAAAATATTAGTTGCCATGACATTCAATATTAGTGTATGTAATATCATTTAAAATATTAGTTGCCATGACATTCAATATTAGTGTATGTAATATCATTTAAAATATTAGTTGCTATGACATTCAATATTACTGTATCTAATTTTTAATCACCTTTTACCATTAGAGGTGTTCTTTAATGTTTTGATACCCCCTTCCCCATGGCATAGAGTAAGTCTGCCGCTATATAACACTAGAAACCGGGTTTCGATACCCGTGATGGGCACAGCACAAATAACCCATTTTGTAGCTTTTTGGTTATCTACAAACAAATACATTTATTTGATAATGAAACAAACATTTATTTTCTGATCATTTTAATCCAAGTTTAAAATGTTATAGTTTTTTGAGATAACTTTTATATATTCGATCTGTGTAATCTAGCCAATATTTTGATCATGTAACATTATCCTTCTCACCCTCCCCAGGCTCAATCCCATGGTTTTTAGTAAGTGAGCTATTTGGCCAGGGAGCACGTGCTATAGCCACCAGTATTGCCGTAGCAGTGAACTGGAGTGCCAACTTCGTGGTGGGATTAGGTTTCCTGCCCCTAGCTGTAAGTAATCAAATTAGAAACTTAACAAGAATAACTATAAAAAAACAACAACAACAAAAAAACGTAAATGTGTACTTCCTCTACATGTACAAGGTTGGGTGTATTAAACTCCCAACATCTGAGCAAATTGAAAATTAAGCACCAACACCAAGGGCGTAGGCTGAGGGAAGGGGGGGTCCAATACACCCTCCCGCTTGCTGGAGGTAAAAGTTCCATTTCTCAAACCCAAATATATATATATATATAAAATCCGTTTCTGGGAGTTATAACCCTGGTTAATCGTTATTTATGTTTGCTCACACTTTGGTAATTTTTTATATGTGTTCCACTATCCAACAAATTACCTTACTAGTTTAAAATATAAAGATAAGCTAGATTATCATAAAGCCTTGTTTTTAGTGCCTTTTTTTATATCAGGTACATTATGATAAAACAGTTGATCATGACGAGATGGTGGATATTTATTTACGACTGCATCCACGTAGTCTTGAAATGCAGTCTTTGTTAAAACTGTTGCGTCATCGAGGTCACGTGACTGGCGTGGCGCCACCTATTTTCTAGAACTATCCTGTACCTTGGCGAATG